AATCAATGTCCACGCTAAGACCAATTTCAATGGAACACTAAACTTGACACTATTCCATGAAATTTGGTGCATGATGAATAGTGTTACATCAAATTTAGTGTAATACTATCACAACAAATATTTTATATACATATTTTATTATGTTTCACTTATTCAATTATTATTATTAATTAGTTTAAATTTATAATTAAACATAAAAATTATGTATTTATATGTAAATTATTTATATGTTTTCTATTATTTTTACATAATTATAATATTTTAAATTTTATTTTCAAATAAGTAATCACTAATGACTTATCATTTACTTTATATTTTTAAAAATAAAATATCATAGAATTGTTAATCAATAACTGAGACATAATTAATAGTTTTTAATATAATTTTGAATATGATTAATATTTTATATAAATATTCAAAATTATAATATTGTTAAAGTAAAAATATTAATAAATTCTATAAATAAAAAATGAACAAACATAATATTTAAGTGTGATAAAAATTATTTATCAATAATGAATAATAAAAATATAAAATTATTCAAAACTTTAAATATGAATAATATATAATATTATTTTTGGTGAAATATTTGGTGTCATAGTTGGAGATGACAAAAATATTTTGACATCAAAACACCAAATTTAATATAATTATAATATAAAATTTGGTGTTATGCTTTGTCCTAAGCTATTTTCGTCTTACAATGATCTATATTTATAGAAAAATGTGACAAAAATATATATTATTTATATTTGAATACATTTTTATTTCATAATAATAGTAAATTGAAATTTTTATTATTTTTTGACTGGTTGAAAATTATGAAAATAAAATAAAAAATGGTGTATTGGTAATCAAGGTTGAGAATGTTTTCTTAATATATATTAAAGCTCCAAAAAGTTGTATTATAGTTTTTTTGTGTAGATATTATTCAAGCCATACCTGATTATACCAAAGCTGAGTTTCTTAATCAAACTTAATTAATGGCCTACAGGCTACTGCATGAGGTTTTGAATAAGCTTAATAACTTGTGTGTAATATGATAATCGTAAACTAATTCTCAAAAGAAAATAAACTAAAATAAAAATATAATAACTTTTTTTTCCTATAACTGTGGAAATCGAAATCAGCCGACTAATCACTTGAAGTCTGCAGCAGTTATATATTCTTACCATTTAAAATAGTCCAGGAGATCAACTAGAATCTACCTACAGATAGATCACTGTATTTGGTTTATTACTCAATGAATTAGCCCAACCCGGTTAGTTAAAATATGATAACACGTTAACTCGCATATTTTGTATTAACTGAGACCAAAGGCACACTAAGTAAGGGATTTGGCAGATTTGACTTGTAATAATTTTGCAAGAAAATAGCTTTCTTTGTTACATATTACTTTTAATTGTTTGTTGAAAATTTTATAAATTCTTTGACACTGAAAATAATTATTGAAGTGTTGATGCATCAAATACTTTGATGTCGACTGTAGTCTTTCCCATGTGTCCAAAGATACGATTCTAGTGTTGATTCATCAAATGCTAATTATTTAGATATTCAAAATTTTAAAGAAACCTCACTAACAAAAATGTAAGAATTTTATATAATTAAACAAGAGAAGATTCCCGAGATGTGTCTACATGAGAAATGGACCCAATCGATTTGATAGCTACGTGGTCAAAAAGATTAATATTAACCTGTTCAAAATAGAATATTATATATATACATAATACACACACACACATATATATATATATTATGCCTAAATTTTGAAAATGAAGGTGATAGTCTTATGGACTATTTTAAAAACACGTTGGTAATCTAATAAAATAACTATTTATTTATGGAAAACTTCACAATGTACATAAAACATATATAGAAAATGTATGACTTAATGGACTGTGTTCACAAGGGCTTACCAAACCTGTGACATGATTTCATTACAACGTTAAAATTATAAACTTTGCTACAAATGGTCAAAAAGGAAATGGACCCCACTAGCCGATATAAAGGGATCTATAGCAATATCGAAGAGAGAAAAAGCATCTTTATAATGATGAAACGGCGGCGTGTGGGGGCACAGGTGTTCATTGTGCGCATGTTTCTTTTGTAAAGCCTCAAGCGTGTAAGTTCGAGGATGGTCCGTTTCCAGCTTATCTCGTCTCGGCTGGGAGCTGTGTTGCAACTATGGAGTTTCATGGCTCATAGTCATAGACTCGTAGGTGTATCACAGCCTCAAAAGTTTCGGCTCCCAGCAGGTGTGGTTTCAGAACTCCACATTTGCGATATCTAACTATTTCCAGACCGGGTATACCTATATATTTGTAGTTGTATATGGAATGTGCGAATCATTTTTTTTTGCAATTCTCCTTCTTCGCTTAAAACTGTTCTTTGATAGTAATTGAAGTATATGTATCATTCCTCAAGCAATTGAACTTTGAACTTAAAGAACAAAGCGTTTATAGTGGGAAAGAGCTTGATCCATAATAATCTAGGGACAAATATATAAATGAGAAATAGTTTGGTCCATAACATCCACATGTGTGCAAATGAAATAATATGTCATATACCTCCGGTGTTGTACAAATATAATTTTATTTTGGTTTTACCTTTAAAGTGTTAAGATTTTTTTGGGGTGTAATAGTGTTAGCAACTCTATGATAAAAAATTAACATTATGTAGGGGCAGATGTTAATGTTACTGATAAAAGTATGAGAATAATTACAATAATATAATAATTAGATTATCGTATTTTTATTATTCTCATACTTTTATCATATTTATAACTTTTAGTTTACAGGTTTTGTCAAACTTTTAGCTGGAATCCGATCTGAAATAGATCGAATAATAATTATCAATTAATTGTAAGTTTGGGTATTTATCATAGGTAATGACTTACATGTTTATATTATTATTGCGTGAAGCAGAAGCAAAACAAAGCAACTCGTTGGGTAAAATCTGCAGTTTCGGGCTTTCTGCACCAAATTAAAGAAGATCTGTATGTAACATTGCCGCCTTTACGTAAATTAACTCTCTATACACACACATAGGTTATATGTATTGCTGTCCTGATAACTGTATATGATGTTATTGCAAGTTGATAAAATTTATAAAGTTTCAAGAAATAGTCAGCTTTCGTTGTCTACAAATAATTAAACCGTTCGAAGTGTGAACATATTATACAATATTTAAAATATCTAACATTCCAGTATGAGAAGACTGAGAAGGATGACACGGTTTACACCTTTTTTAGCAACTGAGCAAGCAAGTTACTTACAAAACGTAGAACCAAAGATTGCCATATTTATATCAATAATATCTGCATATTGCAATGCATATCAATATAATAATTCTCGTTATATAAAAATGTATCATAATAACAAATTAGATGTTTAGAAAAAAAAAAACTAGATGTTTATAACATAAAAATTAGTAAGCTCATTAGACCATCTGTGTTCGACCTCGCTTTTACATTATGGATAAAATATCCAAAACATTTCTTGAAATAACACATGTACATCATGAAAAAAATATAGAAACTTAAATAGTTCTATAGATAATTTATATATTGAAACAAAAAATATTTATAAAACAACGTATGCTATTGAAAAATAGATATCCATCTGTACATAGCTGTTGAAAACATAGATCTCTAGCTCTTGATGCTAATTCAATAAATCGCCAACTTTAATGTGTTTACTAGATTTAAACCCGCGCAACCGCGCGGATGTTTGTTTTCGTTTATAGTTAGTTATATAAACATTTTGCTTTCACTTGTAAATTGGTATATATTATAGTAATCACATATTTACGATATGTATAGTAAATGTTTTTCACATAATAATATTATATAATATGTGTTTTAATCAAATAGATTGTTTCAAATTTTTTATATTATACATGTTTTTTAAACATGTGTTTGTTTCTTCTTCTATATTTTATTGTTTGTTAGATTGGTATTTCATTTTTAGATAAATTAATATAAATAGAGCTTGATTAAATATTAGTATACTTTAATTTGCAAAGATAATATAAACTTCAAAGAAATTTTTGCTAAAAACTAAACTTATATCTTCATAAATTAATATTATAAAGAATTTTATTAAAAATAATTTTTTTAAAAATTTCTTTTTTTAAAACAATATAATTTTAAAAATTTACATCGAAATAAATTTATCTATTATATATAGCGTGTAAATTTTGTTAGGGTACAGAAATATTCCATATTACGAATCTGTGATTTTTGTTAATATATTGTGGATGCATTTAACTATTATTGACATATTTCCTTATAAATAATAGAAGATTCCTAAACTTATACCTATTGACATATTTTGCGTGACTAAATTGGAAGGTGTGAAGTAATTTACCAAAACCAAATTGTTAAGCGTATCTTTGCTATCATAGATATGATTTTTCATAAGATATAATAATGATAAGATTATTAGAGAGTTAATGTAACATGACTTTCTAGTAATAGTCCATTTTTAAAAAAATCACACATGAAGTCAAGTCATGACTTCTGTTTTAATATATAAGATGGCTACGTTATTTTTTGTCATCATGTCTTAATTTTGTTCGAATCAATGATATTTTGTTAGTCATACAAGTACAACTAATGATTTGGTAGATGGAAAAAGATGTATCCTTTTGCTTATATACGATTATGTATATTTTAATCCCTTATGGCTTAACAATTTAGCTTTTATTCTATTCTTTAAATTTTTTTTCGGTCAAATTATTCTATTCTTTAATAGAATCCGGAAATCCTGGATGTTAATTGTCACACTAAGTACTAATGCGAAAACGTAAAAAAATGTTAGATGCTACCGTTACCTAAAAAAGTTAATGGTATGATTTTACAGCAGCTGTCTAATATATTTATGTTTTATTAATAAACAATTATATAAAAAAGAGAGGAGAGATTGGTTTATAAAGAGGGGAGGGGGTGAAGTTCGAAGCCATCTTATAATTATTTTAGCTTTCATTCTTCTTTTGCTCAGATCAAAGAAACTGTTTCTCTTCTTCTCTGCCATCTTCTGCCTCCTCTTCTCTCCATAAGACGGAGAGAGTAAATATTCTTCATTGAAAGGGAAAAAGAAGAACAACTAACTAGAAGACATAATCAGTTTTGGTCTTTCTTTGCTTCTTATTATTCGTTCTCACCTTCTTCTTCTCTAAAAGAGAACACGTAAGTCACTCTCTTTCTTTCTTTCTTTCTCTGTTTCTCACTAAAGAAAAAAAAACGTAAACTAAGAATAATCATTTACACTCTGCTTTGTAACTGATCCTCTCAGATCTACCAAAGGCAAAAACATACAGAAATCAAAAATGTCGGCGGGAGAAGAAGCAATAGTAGCTAGCGGAAATGACAACGAAGGAGATCAGATCAACGGAAACCACACCGGAAAAACCGAAGAATACGACCCTTCCACCGGTTCTGCACTAAGCAACTTCCTCTGGCACGGTGGCTCCGTCTGGGACGCTTGGTTTAGCTGCGCATCTAACCAGGTACGAACCCTCAAAAATTGAGAAAAAAAAAATCAAGAAAATCTTGAATTTCAAGAATCCTCACAAGATCTTGCTTTGTAACCTTTTCAGGTGGCCCAAGTGCTTCTGACACTACCGTACTCGTTCAGTCAACTAGGAATGTTATCAGGAATAGTACTTCAGATCTTCTACGGATTACTCGGAAGCTGGACTGCTTATCTCATCAGTGTTCTCTACGTTGAGTATCGAGCTCGTAAGGAGAAAGAAGGCAAAAACTTCAAGAACCACGTTATTCAGGTAATATAATGATCATTACTAATTAATCACTCACTAATTCTAATTAACAATTCACTAAAACATTTTAATAACAGTGGTTCGAAGTACTCGATGGACTACTTGGCACATACTGGAAAGCATTAGGACTCGCATTTAACTGCACTTTCCTCTTGTTTGGATCTGTAATCCAACTCATTGCTTGTGCCAGGTCTCTTTAGTCTCTCTTTTAATGATAATCTCTCTCTCTTTTCAATTATTAATGGATGATTATAATAAATATTTGATTTGATGCAGCAACATTTATTACATAAACGATCACTTGGACAAGAGAACATGGACTTACATATTCGGCGCGTGCTGTGCAACCACTGTGTTTATACCGTCGTTCCATAACTACCGAATCTGGTCGTTCCTTGGCTTGGGTATGACCACCTACACGGCCTGGTACTTGGCCATCGCCTCCATTATCCACGGCCAGGTATATTATATTAATAATTATAGATTTCACAAAAATATAATAATACTCAGATAAATACATTGTCGTTTTCATATATTTATGCTTTGCAATGAGGTGACAGTATATGCCCTTTCATTAAAAAGAAATAATATTCGAATTTCTCTTTTAAGATTAGGGAGATAGAATTGAATTATTCCGTGCATCTAAACCCAAATATGTATTTTTTTTTCTTCTAAAACAAAGCAGTTATAGAATTGTTTTAATATTCTCCTAATAAAATCACTGTTTAATATTTGTTTTCGATTTCTTGATGTTTATCTTTAATTTTTAGACGGAAGGTGTGAAGCATTCTGGTCCAACAAAGCTAGTGCTATATTTTACGGGAGCTACCAATATCTTGTATACCTTTGGTGGTCACGCAGTTACTGTGTAAGTTTTCTCTTAATAGTTACTACTATAATCCATACTATATTTTATAGGTTAGTAAATGTTTTATTAAATTCTGTCAGATATAGTTGAATACTATTTGAGAGAAAAGCTCAAATGACAGTAAAAGTATATGATAAACTTTAATATTAAATTCTTGGTGTTGTATTGTTTTATCGCCGCTTCTATTGCAGCTTTTGCCGGCAAATAAGGTGTAGTATTGTTAGTCATGATGATTATCATTATTATTTTTCTATCCTTAAAGTAGTTGTTATAAAATGTTTTATAGCCTTTAATAAATAGTAAGAGTCAATAAAATTAAATAACAAAATTAATATTCCTATCCCTACACTATTCAATGTCACCCAAGCACCTCTACTAGTAACAGTAACGCGTCTACGAAATGTCAAATACACCCTTATGCTTATCTCATAATTTATGATTTAATTATGGGTATTAACGGTGAAGTTTGTTCTTTAACTATGCAGTGAGATAATGCATGCAATGTGGAAACCACAGAAGTTTAAGTACATTTACTTGATGGCGACGTTATACGTTTTCACACTAACGATTCCGTCAGCTTCCGCCGTTTACTGGGCCTTCGGAGACGCACTTCTCAACCACTCTAATGCTTTCTCTCTTCTCCCCAAAAACGGGTGGCGTGACGCTGCCGTTATCCTCATGCTCATTCACCAAGTAAATTATAATAAACCTTTAGTATATTAACGTTTATTTTTTTAATGTCAGCTTTTGTGATCATAAGGTTAACAATGAAGCTTGATGTAATGTGTTAATGCAGTTTATTACGTTTGGATTCGCGTGTACCCCACTCTACTTTGTGTGGGAGAAAGTGATAGGGATGCATGACACAAAGAGCATTTTCTTGAGAGCTTTAGCTCGTTTGCCTGTGGTTATACCGATATGGTTCTTAGCTATTATCTTTCCGTTTTTCGGCCCAATCAATTCAGCGGTTGGTGCTCTTCTGGTTAGCTTCACCGTCTATATCATCCCTGCCCTCGCTCACATGCTCACTTACCGCTCTGCCTCCGCTCGTCAGGTTGCTTTTACAAATCTCCTTCTATTACCATAAAACCCAAACTTAATTATCGAGACTACAACTGGTTTAGATATTATCACATGCATAGGCAAAACATTATCGCGGCCTGATTGAAAATAATGGTTTAGATTTACGATTGTCACCTATAATTCATAATAATTCTCCTAATGATGTGCGCTTATTAAATAGTTATATAGTTTGGAGTAGGGTTGTGAATAGATTATTGGAATTGGAGGGTATAAAGGTCTTATTCAGAAGGATAGATGGGGTTCAGTGTTCCGTATCTTACGGAAGATGGGATCATCACCCACATTCCTTACTGACGTCCCCTCCAAATATTTATTTGAGTTGGTTTTCAAAGCTCCTTATTTTTTATTATGCTTTTTTAAAAAAAGGTAAAAAATACAATGTCATGTTTTCTGGTTAGGTTAGAATTAGTAATTTGACCATGAATTATTTTTTGTTTTTTTTTCTATGTTTCAAACTCGTATATTATATTACTAACAATAGAAAAGAAAAAAAGAAGTTTGAAAAGGGGATAGTGTATGAGAAAATAAGGGAGAGAAGAGAATAGGTAAGTCAGGAGCTGTACAATAGGGACTGTCTGCCTAACACTGATCTAAAAGTGAATGTCTGAGTATGACAAATCATAATCATAACTCTCTCTCTTTCTCATTCATGGGTCAACAATGCTTTGGCTTTTGTCCATTACCATACGACAAACACATACACTCACTCATTACCTCTCTCTTCAATAGTTCTTGATTTTTATTTTATTTTTTGGACTTTTATTGTAGAATGCGGCGGAGAAGCCACCGTTCTTCATGCCAAGCTGGACGGCGATGTACGTGTTGAATGCTTTCGTGGTGATTTGGGTTCTAATAGTCGGGTTCGGGTTTGGTGGATGGGCAAGTGTAACCAACTTTGTTCGTCAAGTCGACACTTTTGGTCTCTTTGCTAAGTGTTACCAATGTAAACCACCTGCCGCCGCTGCTCATGCACCGGTTTCCGCTTTACACCACCGCCTTTGAGAGATCTAATGCTTTTGTGGAGTTTATAAAAATATATTTGTTCTTAATTTCATGTTTTGTGTTTGTATACGTGTGGGAGTAAAAAGTCACGAAAATAGTGTACTACACATCCCCTTCGAATGCGTGTTAAGCTCTTAGTTTTTTTTTTGGGTGTTGTACTTTTCACTCGTTAATTAGGTCGATAATATAGTAACGTGTGCTTTCTTAATTTGGTATTGTTAAACAATAGGCTAAAAATGTATTGACTTCTCTTCTTTTATTTGGCTTGTGGTTACAAATAATAATCTTTATTATCATTTTCATTGTTAGCTTTAGTTAATTTGAATGGTTTAAATTAATTTGTCTTTAGATAATACACAGTCTTAAGAAATAAACTAAATGTTATATATGTAAGAAAACATGCATAAAACCGGAATGTGACATTTATATAAAAGATCACTGAAAAGTTTTGCAAATTTCTAGATAATTGGGAAATAGATTCCGAGAACAATGGACAAGTTGGACCGACGGAGCCGGTCATTTCTATATGGGGCACATGGGTGTTGGGAGGGACCGCACGTGGCTTCTTGTTCTCAGTCACGTGCCATTATTGACTTATCACTCTTTCTCTCTAATCAGACACTTTGAAGGAATGGGATCAGAGGACCGTTCTTGTCTCTCATATTAAATATGACATGTGTTCGTAAGATTACTCAATCTTTACCCATATCATACGCTCTGGTTTCACATGTACTTTGGACGAAAAGGCACGATATAATATTATTTACTAATACTCTTAATCTGTTCTCTCAATTTGACCTTTTTGTTTTAATTTTGTATATATAGAAACGTAAAGCGCTTTGGGAAAATGTCTAGTCCAATAACCAATAATCATTTTTGTAGAAAGAACAAAAACAAAAAAGATATGAATGTAGTTCAAAATGTGAATGCGAGTGATTTGGGTCACGACTCCTAACTATGTGGCGAGAGGTGAATCTTCTTTAATTTGTTCTGGTTTTGGCCATGTGAAATTTGTTACAAATTTTTTGTTTTCTTTGTTTTCATAGAGACTTCTATTAGTGAAAGATGGACTATTTTGGAAACATAAAATCTTGTTATCATGGATAGATCCCCAAGTTGTATTTTAAAGAAGGTATTTGTGAACGAAAACCATTTGATAGCATTCTACAAGGATAAAGATGTTTTCATCAAATAGTTAGAGGTGTAAAGCTTTATTTCGCTATTCGAGAACCGGCTCTAATTCAAAGTTTGTCCACTATTTTAGTTCCAAACCTAATCATGCATAGTTTAACAATATGAAAACTTGTTAATGTATGAAATTAAGTCTTACATCGGTAGTTGGAGAAGTAATTAAGTAATATATAAATGATTAGGCCCAATCCACTTATCACCAATTGATTTTAAGTTGGAAGCCCATAATAAACCCAAAGTTAACATGGTATCAGAGCCACCTGATGTTGGGCCACTCCGTGGATGTTGTTCATGAGCGTGAAGAGGAGTGTTAATGTATGAAACTAAGTCTCACATCGGTAGTAATATATTAATGGTTATGGTCAATCCACTTATCACCAATTGGTTTTAAGTTGGAAGCCCATAATAAATCCAAGTTGACCAAACCCGAATAAAAAATCATTTCTTTACCAATTATGTTTGGACATTCGTGTTTTCTTTAGAGTGGACTCCCAAACGCTATATAAGAGCATCCATATCAATGAACCCCTTATGGGGTTCATTGAATCAATTTTTTATTATTAAAATTTTTCTGTTTTCTTTTTGAATTTTTTTTTGAAAAAAAAAGAAAAAGAAAGACCTAGACCAATCCCGGGCCGACACGTGTTGAACTTTAGGAGAGGGGAGTTCATCCGGGTGAACTTTAGAAGAGAGAGGTTCATAGATTTTTGTTATTTTATTATTTTATTTTTTTGGTTTCTGTGTGAATCCCCCATTTGAACTCTCAATGGGGGTGCTCTAATGCGTTTACCCTAGTCGAATGAAAATATTTAATGTAAATGAGCCCCATAATCACTATATTACTAGCCCAATTATTTGGGCCAAAACAAGCCCAATAGCTCAATCAAAGCCTAAATAGGCAGAAATAATTGTCTATTTGTTTAAGCTACAACTCTTTGTTGTTATCTAAACATTTTCACTTCTAACTTGTATGTGATCAACAAGTCAACGTCCGAGTTGTTGTCTAGAGGAAACTAATTGAGATTATCAATAAAACCGCACGCAAAAGTGTCAACAATGGTATAAAACGAGAATCTATAAGCATATGAATGAGTCTTTTTGGATCTCAAGCGTGAGAGTTTGTGATATATATCCACAAACTGTGCAGTGTGTGGAGATGAGTTTCTGCATCACGCTTTCCTCTTCCATCTCAATATTTCTTGTCACTTTTATCCAAAGATGCACCATGTAAACTCCCTTTGTTCATATCTTGAACTGTCTTCTCCACCCATGTTGCTTCTCCAGTGGTGTTTGGTTTCTTGAAAAGCCTTGGGATGTCAAGCCAGTTCAGTGGATAGAAAGCATCCAGAGGAAAGATTGTGAGGTTATACTCAGGCTTGTGTCCTAACCTCTTGATAACTCTGGTGACCAGGTAAGGACTGTTGTATCCCCATCTGTTCCCATCGAAAGTTGTTGAATATTCTCGCAAGAACTCCCTCTTAAGTGGATGGTAAGGGTCAAAGACCATCACTGTTTAGTGGAAGATTGACTATTTTGGATACATCAAATCTTGCTAACATTGATAGATGCAGGTTGTATTTTAAAGACATGTTGAGGTAGAATTATAAAAATATGATGAGTAACTAGGTATAGTTTTGTTATTAAGCAAAAGTAACTATACTAAAAAGAAATGATTACATTTGCTAAATCTTGTTAGGTCAATCTTACGTGGAACTTTGGTTGTCATACAAATAACATTATGATTGGACTTAATATGCAGAAGATGTGCGAACCCCTAACTTGTCGGAGTAGCAAATTTTTGTTCCTTGTGAGCAGACAGGTTACAATGATGAGTAGTGACGTCTATGGCAAGTCATATAACCAACCAATGGTTCTGTGGAGCGATTCTCTAATAATATAAGTTCAAAATATGATATGTAACGTCTATTTTTATGCTAAGAATACGTAGTTTCCATAAGATTGTTGTTGCAAAGTTAACAGAGAATTTCATTAACTAGAATGCTGGCATATCAAGGCAGTAAGAGGATGGCGATGACTCCTTGTCCATTGAGTTTGTTGCATTGCTTGTTACCCGTAGATTCCCCGGAACACTACGCTTTATGTTCTGCACAAAAAAAAACATACAGTTTTGTACAAAGTTAAGAAGAAAAGCTTGCAAGTTACAAGTGAGTAGCTTCATAGGTTAAAGGAACCAGGGAACCGTACCATGTGCCTCATGGCCATATCAAGAGACGACCTAGAGAGAGTTCTCCCGAATCCCTTCATGTTGTTGTCATCATGTTTTGGAGGTGGCAGTTTCCTCATGTTCACCACTCTTTCCACCATTTGAGTCCCCATCAAAACAGGATTCACATCATCGTCGCTTATCTTGGACGACCGTCCGGTTGATCTGCCAGCAGAACTGTAGACTCTGCCTCTCGAAGCTGAGACTGGTCTAGCTGGTATTTGCCGGATTGTTAAAGACGTAGACTTAGCAGCAGTAGGAGCTGACTTCCCCACAGAGGATGAACGGGATGCTCGTGGGTTTGATTTGATTGTAGAGGCCCTACAAGCAGAGTTGGTTGGTCTTGTGGCAGATAATGTGGCTTGCCTTGAAGTCTTACTTTTTGTTTTTGGTTCTGCAATGGCGTTATCAGATTGTTTGCTAACAGTTGTTGAAGATTCCAATCTTGGGATTTGCTTGGAAGCCTTAACGCTGAACTTCACAGGCTCCTGCTGAATATTCTCAACCTTCAAAACAAAAACTTAAACATGAATCAGCACGAGCAATCATCAAGGAAGGTACGTTTATAAATGAACACATTCCACAATAAAGTGAACCATATTAGTTGGAAGTTTTGTAACTGATTCTCACCCGTGGTTTAAGAGCAGTGGAGGACCTAGCTGCTTTAGGCTGCTTGAGCTTAACCATAGAGTTCTCTTTCGCTTCTTTCTCACCTAGCGTCTCTGGAGCCGCAAGTAGCCTGAGAAAAATATCATCTCTAAATGTTTACCTCTTCAACAAAAAAGGTAGTGAATCTAATCCCATTGAGGCATCTACACTCTATCTAACACAATCAAACATCAAAACCTAATGTTCATAATCTCATATACAGAATCACATTCAAACACTAATACTAAAGATAAAACAGATTCATCACAAAGTAAGTACCACTCATAATCTGATTTGTTGTTCTCAGAGTCCAAAAACTTCTCAATAGCACTCCTACGCAGATGAACGTATCTCGTAGTTGTTGACACTAAACTCTCTGTGGTAGTCTCGTCAAAACTGTTTGCTCCTGTGAAAAATTCAACAATACGATACACTAACCGATCAATACTAGAAATCCACCAGCCTTCTCGTTAGATCTAATCACCACATGAACAGCTAACGAACTTCAAGAGCTAAGCAAGCAACACTATAAATACGGAAACAACTAGCTAGTACAATCGAATCAATACTAAGCATCGATTCATCCATAAGCTTCCTATTCCGATCTTAGATATAGATTCTGTGAGGTCAAAGATCGATCCGATAACTCACCAGGCTCTGAGAGAGAGGAAACGTTTTGAACCTTCTCGCGCCTTCGCATCTCCAGGAACAGAGAGAGTTCTTCGTCTACGTCTCGAGCTACGACGTTCGCCATTATCAAAACCTCTTTCTTCACAACTGATCGTTATTGATCGATGAAGTAGCTAAATAAACGACGATGGAGAAGAAGAAATTTTTTACTAAACTGCCACTGTTCTGTTTGTGTCAGGTACTCTCTTTTGCAAAAGGTGGAGCGTTGAAGGTGGGGGCATCGATGTAATTGATGTAGGTCCCTTTGACTGCATATATTAGATCCGAGCCGTTTGGTTTATAACGGCGATTAGTGATCGGACGGTTGATATTTGAATTGACTGACCAATGGAGTAGCCTCGTATATCGTGAGATTCAAACCTCCTCACGACCCCGGTTATTTATTTGTTTTTGTTCTACTGTGCATCTAATAGGCCCAGTATCTGATTAATTGGGCTTTTTAATCCTTGCAAGCCCAATAAAGACCGGTACAGAGAAATATATGTACCGATCAACCCGAAGTCTCAGCTCTATCAAACCAAAATGTATGCATGGTTTAAACATTTTGGTTTGCGCTTTGGTTTTGTTTTTGAATTTTACGGTTTGTTGGTTTTGAAAGTTTAAACCATGCACATCTTTTGGTTGATACGGTTGAAAGGAGTGTTTAAATAACAGTTTACTAGAAACCTATTTGTACTCCTATTGCCTGTGGGCTTATAAAACAGCCGAAAGTTGACCCAAAAAAAAAAATATTACTCCCGGGTCTAGGGTTGGGACAATTATCCGAGATCCGAGATTCGGATTTGTTTCAAAAAATATGATATATGGGGTCTCTAGTTCCGGATAGTAAATTTTGGATCTGTCCAAACCGAATCAAGAGCCGGATATCATAATTTAAAGATTTGGATATTTGGATCCGGATCCATGTTTATAAAATACTTTATTAATTTTAATAATAACTAAATCTGGATCCGCATACTCTACATATTTTTTTAATACTAAAATACACTAATTTATCAATAAACTAATATAATTTGTTTATATATTACCTAACTTTATAATAATGTTTGTGTGACTTATAATATTATTATTACAAAATTTTATTTTGTATTTTTACAAAAATTTTTTTTTAAAATATATTATGCAACAATACTAATTTACTTAATTTTTATTTTATTTCTGATTTGGAAATATATGTAGAAACTGAATTAATTTAGAACTACAGAAGAAATGTTTGGGCTATAGCTAAAAGTTTTTACATAACTCTTAATTTTTGTTTATTAATCAAAAATAAATTTAATTTAATTCTAATCAAATTTGATGATAGTTAAAATTTAACTAAATAATTTCCAAAATATATTTTGAATATATTTCTAAAATATCTTAAGAAGATTTTGTTAGAATTTTCGTTTGAATATTTATTTATATTTTAAATAAAAATTGAAGATATGAAAAGATATTATAAATAAGTTATGTAAAATCTAATAAAAATTAAAAGATAGTCCAAAATGAAATATCATATGTGGAAGAAGTCATGACTTCTATTTTAATATATAAGATTCTATGTGATATATTAATATTAATATAAAAAACTTAGTCTCATAATATTATATTTTAAATGTAATAATATTATATTTTAATTGTAATAATATTATATGTCATAAATATATTTAGAAATTTTGTATAAATATTTAATTAATGTATCAGAATTTGTGTATTTTTGTTTTTTACGGATCCGAATCTAAATATCCGAGAATATCACAATTTCTAAATGGATATTTGAACTTCGGATATCTGAAAAATACAGATCCGAATCCGGATACTTAAATCATGAATCCGGATCTGAATGCTCTAAATTTTTCGGATATCCAAATCCGTCCCATCTCTACCCGGGTCCCTATGCCCTTCCTTATTGGCTAATTTCTTAATATATTTTGAGTGAACCACTGAAATTGAATCTTTTTTTTCACAACACTGGAATATAATCATTAAACTGAAAATATAATGTTTATATACATGATCATTATTTATGCATCATCAGACAAATGTTATTTATGCATCTACAGTTATTCTTACCGTCTTTTTTTTTTAAAGAATCAATTATTTTGATTTTCATATGCAAGAAAATCTTTCTGCTATTCTCGTAGGCTTTCATCCTCACAATTGGACTGGCTGAAGTGAAGCAAAGCTGAAGAGGCCGAACCAGACGGGAGAAAAGAAAATCTTCGTGTCCAAACAAAAGGTACGAGCATAAGTTCAACCTGAGCTTATACTTTTAGATTAATTCTGTGGTCGAAATATACAACTATTAACCGCAATTCAGCTTATAAGAATTATTAATGGATGATTTGCATGATTGTCATTGGTTTAAATTCAAAATTAAACGTTTGTAAACTGAAACTAATAGAAACCAAATTTATTAAAGACTCCAAATTGTCTAAGACATGACAAGAGTTAGCGAAATGAATCAGAAATTCAGAAACAATTCAGCTTATATTCCATCTTCCTACTTGGAAGGAGACTGTATGCGCGACACACCCCAACAACCAACGCAGCTTAAAATAAGTATCACCATTCACACGTTACTTTAGCCAATACTTTGGATCATAAGATAATATTTTATATAATACATACAGCCTAAAAATTATAGCCACATATATACCCCAAAAAGCCAATCCGAACTGAAGAGGTATACAAATCCCAAATCAAGAACTGCCTAGGATGAGGGTGAGTGCAACCTAGATGATTGCGTTAGAGAAACTGCATTGGAGCAACATGAGAGTATTACACTGCAATGAGTACAAATCGGGAACTGCCAAAATCTAAAGACACTAGACCCATTAGCTTTACGATTAATTCAATACCTTTGTTCTGCTCATTACGGGCTCCATGTCAGGTTTGTTGTTCCCTTGAGATGATAAGCAAATGCAAGAAGCATATTAAAGAGCACAAGCGATGCTCAATGATTCTTTTCATTCATATGCAAACCGCATATCAGAGATGCACAAGTGATGCCACAATGTTGGGTCTGTTCATCTTTTTGGTATGCAAGAAGCATGGCATGATATGCAAGAAGCATAATCTAGTATGCAAAAAAAAAAAAAAAATCTAGTATGCAAGAAGCATAATCTAGTATGCAAGAAGTATAATCTAGTATGCAAGAAGCATAAAGAAGCATATGAATGAGTAAGAAAGGTAAAAAAGAGAGACATGTCTTTAACCTGCCAAGCAAGCGCACCTGACATGGCAAAGGTCATATTAGCAATGTTCATCTTTTTGGTATGCAAGAAGCATAATTGTGATGCAAGAAGCATACTTTGGTATGCAAGAAGCATTATACATGGTATGCAAGAAGCATTTAATATAGTATGCAAGAAGCATATGAATGAGCAAGAAAGGTAAAAAGAGAGACATGTGTTTGACCTGCCAAGCAAGCGCATGGCAAAGGTCATATACATCCCCGACCTATCTTCCTTTTTTACATCTTTTCGTTCGAGATAACAAACAAAATACGTACAAGAGCTTAACCTATAAAGATGACACGTAACGCAACAAGAATATATAAACACGGACCAAGATCGTTCATCTTTAATCACGAGACATAAATGATCAACGAGAATTGATCAGATCAAAGAGAATTGATCATCATTCGTTTTTATCAAGCCCTAGAGAAATACAAATAACACAAGAGTAAGTTAATGGTATCCACGGAAATTTTGAAACCCTAGGCACAGTATAGACAAGAAGAGCGTACCTTGATGATCGCAAATCGAGGTTAAGGTTCAGCGTCCCCGATGCCGTATCAGTGTACCACAAACCCTAAAAAGAGAACCATCATCCGATCAAGAAGCGATAATCCAGCTGGAGAAATTTCGTGTAGTGAATCAGTGATCGAAGGAAGAAGGCGACCATTATTTATAGAAGGCGCGAAACCAAGAATCTGAGTCGAGTCGGTTTGCAGAGAGATCTGACGGTTGACAGTTGGTATAGTTTATAGTTAATCAACGGTGCAGATTATATTAAACTAGAAAAGGCGGTTAAAAGGTTTGCGCCTGAGATATCATTAATCAAATTTCTAAAGCCACGTGTCTTATTTTCTTAATAAACAAATACTGTGTGACAATATATAAGGCTTTCTTCCTTATTGGCTAATTTCTTAGTTTATTTTTTGTAGTAAACCACTGAAATAGAATCAATAAACTGAAATAATATTTATAAAAATACATGATCATCAATTTAATTGCTATATATATGTGCCAAATGTTATTTATGCATTCATATTTATTTTGACTTTCATTTGTAAGAAAATCATTCTGTTATTCTCGTGGGCCGAATTGAAGCAAGGCTTAAGAGGCCGAACCTTACGGTAGAATAGGAAATCTTCGTGTCCAAACATAACTTACAAGCATAGGCTCAAGTCTGAGTTTTTTTATTTTAGATTATTCAATGGTCGTCCAACGAGTTACAGCAATTTCAGTTTAAGAATTACTAATTTCAGTTTAAGAATTACTAGATTTTTGACATGTGTTTAAAAAGCGCGGATACTATTTCTATTGTTTTATCTACAACTGGATCGATAAGTCTTTTATTTTGATGATATAAAATGTCGCAAAATTAAGATCAAGTTATTATACATGTATAAAAAAAATTTTATTTTATAATATCCCAGACAATTTTTTTATGTTTATAAATAAGTTAACAATGGTTGTACCTGAAATGTCTACTTGAAAAATATTGTATATTTAACAATTAAATGGTCCATTTTTTTTTTAATTTTGTGATTAATTCGTAAAATTATTTAGTTACAAAATTTCAATTGCTCAGTCCGACCCGTCCCGCTTAACCCGCTTTGTAGTGGGTTGAGTCATTCTTTCGACTGAAAAATTTGACATAATCCCAGGCTAAGAAGAAGGATTAATCATATAATAATGAGATAGAACATTAGACATAAAATATTAGTAGATATATAGTCCATCTAAAATCCACACATGAACATCATGAAATCTTTTCAAAACTCATCTTCATCAAGACCACAACACAAAGCATAATTTGAGAAATACACTCACTGAATCTCAGAAATCTCTCTGACAAGTTTTAATATTTCTAAATGAATCAAGAAATTGGGCAAATCTTTCTTCTCCACTGAGTTCCTTTGAGAGTTTTGTTTCGATACATTGGCACTAGTCCAGAATTAAGATGAGAAAACGCCTTCGCCAACAGCAGCGGCAATATTCTTCATCGCTTGATGTCCCAAGTGAATAACATTTGGTTGTTCTGAAAAAATCAGTCATGTAATTATCATTATTGTCCATTTATCTAGTAACGTGTATATGAACATATGAATATTGAATTTAACTCACTCTGAGGAAGTTTGTCGACGAAGAAACAAATGGCAATAATGATATAGCAAAGCAAGAGAACCAATCCCTTCATGTAGTGAGAAGTCCCATCCTAAAGAACAACGAAACAGAACACATAAGCATTGGTACTTGGTTTTTTTGAATCATCATTTGGATTGTATAATGTATGGATAATCTTTGTAAGGCGTTGAGAAATGTTTAACCTGTAATGTGAAGGCTGTGATGATGATGGAAAGAGCAAGAGAACCGGTTTCGAGAAGATTAAAATTGAGATCCATGTTAATTCCTAGAATCCATGCGACGATAATGGTCAAGGGGACTACAAATAAGCCAATCTGAGTTGCAGATCCTAACGCAACACCCAAAGATATGTCCTGCAAAATCATTTGCATTAAAATGAGTTCATGCATTGTTTCATTTTTTTTATAAAGAGATATAGGATGATAAAATGGAACTCACAAGCTTGTTCTTAAAAGCAAAAATGATGGCTCCAGCATGTTCAGCTGCGTTTCCAACAATAGGAAGCAATATTATGCTTATGAAACTCACTGATAGTCCCCATGATTCCGATGCTTCCTATCCAAAGATAAAACCATAATTAAGTTTATTCGTATGTATATTTATATATATATATATATATATATATATATATGATCATTAATAGTCCAAAAACACTCAAGGGATTGGTGTTAAAAAACTTATAATAGAAGTGTAATGTAATATAAAAAAGATATGAACTAATTCATTGAAGCTCAGGAAGAACAAAAGTTACCTCAATGGTGCCCACAACATACTCTGATAGCAATGCGATGACTAATGTCATCCCAACCAACCACACAAATCCACTCCAAAATCCAATCACTGCGGTTTCTTCCTCAACATCGTCATTATACTCGTCCTCCTGAACCAAAGTTTGTTTTAAAGATTTGTTAAAACATGAAATTTTTTTGATAATGTTTATACCTGATCTTGTGCGTCGAACAATTGGCGGTGAGTCCAAAGCTGAAAAACGAGATATGCGATGTAACTGATCAACATAACAATACTGCTGGCTCGTGACAAGCTCAGTGACATGTCAGCAATTAAATCAGCTGAAGTCTCTCCGTTTCCAACGTATCCGAACAACATTGGCAGCAAGTGACACAACAAGCCCATTAGGAGTAAGAAGAAGTTCACATCGGCTTGTTTCTGCAAAAAAGACAAGAAAAGCACCACAAAAATCAAATTATGTGGTTCCTAAAGCCCATTATTTTAATTTAAACTGGACTACATACTACTACCACTTGATTGTTTATCAAGATCGAATTTAAATATACCAATACCGGTTAAGACTAATCATACCAAACCTATTTCATTTCTGGTTCGGTTATCTTAAATTCAAACAACATACTATTGGTTTTGTTGATTTTTTAATATAGGGAGAGTTATACCCGGTCGAACCGTTGCTCTCTTCGGAGATTAGCAATTCCACCACAGAAGAGCGAAGTCCCGAGAACCAATAGAAGGTTCGACAAAATAGATCCTAGCAACGAGTATTTCACCACTGCGACCTTGTGGTTAGTCAATGCCAGAATCGCGATGATCAATTCAGTTGCGTTTCCACACGTTGCGTTCAATAGTCCACCCACTGCGTTTCAAAAACAGACAAAACATTGAGTTTTGGACTGATAAACTAATGTCACTGTCACTGAAATTGTAGATTATAAAATAAAAAGCGAATAGTTGGTAAAGAAGATGTTACATGTAGGACCGGTGTAGAAAGCTAGTTGCCTGCACGGGTTACAAGTGAGATTTTATTACACAGTTACCACTTAAAATACATAAAAATTATACTATAAATCACTAATAAGAGAGACATTTTATCGCGTCGACATATGAGTGGAAAATCATTGAGTGCGGTCGGTGAAACCCAATCATGCAGTGACGAATCCCGAAGGAATGTATTGGTCCATTGGTCCATTTATTTCAACAATCAAAAGTCATAAACGAACAAGTAAGATGGATTCCGACCGACCTAATGTCAGGCTCGTAATAAATAATAAGTTAATAACCCATCAAATTCATATAATGTGCTGACAAAGTTGCAACGGGCTAAATCTTGAAAGAGACATGAAATGTTGAGTTAACGTGATATCTTATCTACAGATGGATGTACACGATTTTATTTCATAGACAGTTGGCTAAATCTTGTTTTGGTCGAAAATAAAATGTCGTAAGGTGAATAATTCAAATAATATAAAAAATGTGAATAGATAGAATAAGAACAAGTTTTCTCGATGATGATGAAAACAAAACTTACTCTGTCAGAAAGCTGACTCGCTCAGCCAGCGGTGTGAGTCCTAGCAAGCTCAGTCCAAATATCCATGGCTGAAAAAATTCACCATTTTAACTTATGTTAAGTATCTACTAACTCTGATCAACGAGAAATTCAAAGTTCAAGATCAAGATGATGAAAAGTTTATTAATATATATCATCATGATCATGGCGTATGATTATATAGTTTATCAGTTACGTGGCAATACCCCACTAATTAATTTCAAAACGTTAATGGTTGCAAATCCAACAATTAAATTCTTCCACTCATACCTATCCCTTATTTAGTGGAGAGTAAATAATTCAATCAGATACGCGAATAATGCCAAAATATATTACAATTTAATAACAAATTCCTAATTTATTGTTTAAAATAAATTAAATTGTTGTATGTTTTGTCAATATAAAACATAACTGATACTTTTTCATATATTTATTCCGACACGTAAAATGATCAATATGTAGATGTAATATGGTATATTTGTTCAAAACAATAAACAAAACTGAAGGATTTTGAATGCTATTTTGAATGATTAGTTTACGAGAAAAGCTTTAAGAACCTGAAAACAAAAGCTTGTTCAGAGAAAAAAAGACATGAAACAAATCGTCTCACCTGGCTAAAGCCGCAATAAGTGCCGATAATGGCAGCAGGAATGGCTGGAAAAAGAATGGCAAGCTTTGTGCCGAGAATGACTTCTTGAATATTAGAGAGAAAATCTTTAAGACCTTTGTATGGAACCTTCTGAATCACTCGGAGGTCAGACTTCTTCCTCAACGAAGAAGAAGACAAGCTGTGAGCTGTTCTTCCTCTCAGCTCTCTGCTCGATCCCTTCGCGGTCATGGATGCGTTCCCGTTCTCTGCTGCTAACCATGGTTCCTGCACGATCCCCGACATTTCCACAGTGATTCAGAATAAAAGCTATGTTTTTTTTTTTGGGGGGGGGGGGGAGGCTTTTTCAATTTGGTGTTATAATTTTTTGCTTTGCTGATTCTTATTTATATAAAATGGAGCCACAATAGCGAGTGGTATACTATATATGGGTACAAGAGGCAACTTCGAGGAAGTTTCCTTGGATTTATCTATTTAATTAATTTTGAGATTTTATGCTCTATTATATTTGGTAACAATTATTAAAAATGGTAAAGTATATATTTTAGATGAAAACTGCAAAAAAAACATAGCTAGAAAATCTGTATATTTTGGGAATTACCACTATGGTTTATAGTATGTTCTACCTTGTTGGACCATACCGAACTGTAATTTGAATTGTCGCTCTGGGTTCGATACGCCTTGTCCATCTAATTGTGGCATTAAAGTGATTTAATTATGTATCTGGATGCAAGATTTCGTAGGATTAGTCTTTGAGTTTATAAAATCTTTGAGATTTCTCACCCAAAATAAACTAATTTTGGTCAATAATGTTTTAATCTAGTTACAGAATCTTCAGAAAAAACACATTACCAAAAAAATTCATCTTATTAAGTAATATGCTTCAAAATGAAATTTTATTTTAAAATTGAATGACTGTAGCAGTGTTTTCAAAACTAGACCAATTCAATAGTTGGACCAGATTCAACCATGAAGCGACTAGATTCGATTATGAACCAGACTCGACATGTGGCTCGGCTAAAATTAATCAACTCAATAAAGACCATAACAACTATTAAAGGATTTAAGAATCTCGTGAACAAATAAAGTTAATCCACATTTAAAAAATCTAATCATTATGTTTTATTTTTAATTAATTTTTACTTTTGTATATTCTACCATAAAACTATTTAAAAGCAATAAAATCATAAGTTTTTTTATATAAATATCTACAAAACATAATAACAGATAATTTTTATTAAATTATAAGATGTTAATAACATATTTTACATATTTTAGTACTTATTTAATATATTTAATTCTAGATAATTTATCTAACTATATATATACTTTTTATGCTAGTTATATATCATATTTCCATAATTATTTAAATATATATATATATAATTTTTGAACTATGTTCTACCTTGTTGGACCATACTGAACTGTAATTTGAATTGTTATTGGATTTAGTTTTTGGTACTTAATCGTATTTTTGGAATATTTCTTTGCTAAAAATAATATTTTATACTAAATAAAGAAAAAATACAGTTCAAAAAAACTAAACCAAAAAGTAGTTCTGACTACAATTCGGTATTAAGATTCTAAAAATTATATTTTTAGTGTAAGCATATTTATTTACATAATATTTTTTTTGAATGCGTAAAAATCTTTGTTGGACTGAAATATTAAAAATAAATAAATTTGACAGATATATCAGACAAATATCAAAATAACATAACAACATAATAATTTTGGTGGAAAATTGAAACATAAAATTTACGTATTAGAATTGTAAATGTTAAAACTCAAATTTTCTTTATAAAGTAATCACGTTTTTACTTATATTTCTAACAAGTTAGTTGTGCATGTCATAATAATTTTACTACAACGTTAAAACATATATAAATAGTTGGATTATAAATTGTACAAAATAATAGAATAACATTGCCAAAACGTGAATATATAATTAAATAGTATATAATAAATCATCTCTTTCTAAAAATAAGAGAACGTAAAAGCAAAATCCCAAAAATTGAGAAACACAAAAGATTATCTTGAGTAGTGGTGGAAATAGAATTGTAATTTGTTGGAGGCAAATCAAATATAAACATAGAAAACAAGGTTAAATATATAACTTTTAGTTGGGACAAACCATATACAAGCATAGAAAACAAGGCTAAAGGTTATACTCCCTCTGTTTCATTATAAGTGTCACTCCACAGCTGTGCACACGGATTAAGAAAACAATTAATTTTACATATTTCCTATATAAAAGCACAGTTACCCATACACCTAACCATATTTTAACCAATAGAAAAACAAATTATATAATAAAATTAATAAATTTTGCATTGAAAACCAAAAACGACATTTATTTTGTAACGCAAAAAATTCTATACAATGACACTTAATATGAAACGGAGGGAGTACATGTTAATATGTTATAAAGAATTTGAAATTATTATGGGGGCAAGTGCCACCAACTTGGCTCACCTACATTAGCCACTGATATTGAGACACGTGTGTGGCCTTCATGACAAGAGACTATGGCCAATGCAACAATAGTTCACTTCCCTAACTAGGGTCAACATAAAAGACTATCTTTGACTTCGTTTCTCTCGTGAAACAACACTAGTAAATTTAAATATATCTAATTGTTTCTCTCGTGAAACAACACTAGTAAATTTAAATATATCTAATATAACCTCAACTAGATTTTGATCCGCGCTTGAAAGCGCGAAATTTTTTTATGATTAAAAATTTATATAATTGGGTTTTGTCTTAATTTAAAGAATGTTTTAGTATAATAATATCAGTTCATCAAAATTTGTGGTGATGATTGTTTTTTATTAGTTTTTAGTTTCAGTTTTTATTTTTAGATTTTGTTTTAGATTTTGGTTTTTAGTTTTTAAGTTTCTACTTTTGATTTTCAGCTTTTAGTTTGTGCTTTTAATTTTTAGACCCGTTGAGTTAGTTTGAAATGATTTTACCAACAAACAAATCCTAAATAATCGAACATCTAATTTAAAACTGAAAAGATGACAATTTTTTTTTGCAATAGTTTATTTTGTAAATAAACAAAAGCAAAAAAAAAAATATAACTTGTGTTTTCATCTTTTGGTTTTTAGATTTGGTTTTTGGTTTTTCTTTACATTTTTTTAATCAGTAAATTATTTAAGAAAAATAAAAAAATAAATTATTTAAAAGCTACCATTGAAATTTATCAAAATAAAGTGATTTTTATTTAAAATAAAAAATACATTAACATGTTTTAAAGTACATGATTTAAATAAATGATTAATAATAGACATTTTTGTTTTGTTAAAAATATTAAATACCTTTTGGGCCTAAAAATAATATTTGATTTTTGATCTATTAAGGTTAAAAGTTTATCCAATGTTTTTGGAGTTTTTCCTTAATATTAAGTCCAAAAACTAAACTATATAATTTGTTCTAAAAAGAAAAGTAAGCTCAAGACTATATCTCATAAATAACCATCGGTTTAATTTAAGTAATGCGGTTTAATTAATTATATGGTTTGTGTTAAGTATTTGTAACACCCTAGAAAGGGTCCAAATTTAAATGACAACTTGTATCAGTAGATAAAAAGAATGACTCTATTTTAATAGAATAGATTTTACATATCTTTAAAGTATATTAAAGCATTTTTTCGCAAGTCAATCATCTGTACAATAGGTATGTACGGAAACCAATTTGGAATAAGAGGTTGGGCCACCCATATGTACTCGACCATGAGAATTTCACTCCAAACTCTCTATAGTGAGATAAATGGCGCAGTCTTATTCTAAATGTAATTCGCATAAGAAGAGAATAAAGATTAGCATCGGTATGACACGTGCTTCTGTCAGAGTGTTCTTTGGAGGAATCCAAGGGTCCAAGATTGTGTCGTGTAGTATGAAAACGAACCTACTGATTTTGCTAGTATGTCTTTTTGCTTAACGAGGAGGTAGCTTAAACAAAATGTTGGAAGTGTCTCCTACCTTTTGTCCTCTATTTGTTAAGGTTAACCTCTAGCTGATGTTGTTCGCTACTTCATTTCAAAAGACAATTATTAAAATTTGACCACAAATTTAGAGGTGGCTCAGTCAGTTGAGATACGTGGCTCAGTTTGAAATCCTCAAGAAGTTAGAAGAAAAACTTGATGCTTAAAAAGAAAAATCGTAGATATTAGAGAGAGACGTGCAATAAGTAAACATTACTTATGATTTTTTTAGTTCAAAAAAGTAAACAATACTGAGGATAGTGATGCTAATATGCTGGCACCAATTCCTTTCGAAATCTATAAAATATTGTATTATATTCAAGTGGACGACATTTTCTTCTCCTCCCTGGACTTGATCTTCAGGTTCATTATCCCCCTCATAGTCGAGGTGGGATGACTGATCTTGAGAAGACAAGGTTATCTAAAGTCTATCAAAAGCTAACACACTTTGGTACCTTTACTGCAACAAAAACCAAACATTCAATTTCAATCCATACCCGTATAAAGGGAAGTTAAAGATGTTGGAAAGATTTCATCAATAATTCTAGGAGTAGTGAATTTGAACTTGGTATATAAAGGTACGTGTCCGTACCTTTTTGTACTCTAAAAGAACATGCCCTTTTGCCTGATGAACTCAAACTACAACACTAAACCAATATCTAACTTTTGTGTCAAAAAAAAAACAATATCTAACCGAAATATATAAAATCAACCACTATACTATAACAACATGAACCTAATTAACCATTATACATTTAACAAATTAATTTGATGTACTTAAATTTTTATTAACTTGATAGCTTATAAAACACTCTCGAGCTTTAACCCATGGCAGGTCTTGCGTATATAGTAACACTTGAATAAAAATTTCTGAAATGATTCCATGTACTTTTACATCCACATATCTCACAACCAATTGTACATTTTCTTTTTCGTTTCCCCCAACTCAAAGGCTTGAATCTTAAATTATAGCGCCACTAGTTCCAAGGAATTAAAGTCACAGTATAAGACGTTATAGAATGCTCTATTTATATGTAGTTCTCATTCATTGATAACGATAGTCCGAGAATCTAAACTAATCATAATATCAATTATATTGATATATATTGTCACAAATGGTCCCTAAACCCGAAGATTAGAGGAACCCAAGTGGGTAAATAAAGAGCCAAACTGAACGACGCATTTGTCTTGTCCTAAACACACCACAACGTAATTATTCTCGAAATGCCCCCACAAATCTTTGTTGTTTTTGCAAGTTACACTGATTTCTTGTTTGAGTTCATCGACATATATGTATGGACGAAAGGCGTTGGATCACAAACTCACAATGATGAAAATGCCAAAACACATTAAACTGTACTTGGCGTTAATGGAAATTTCCCAGAAGCTGCCTTCTTGAGGATACGTCTATATACTTCTCACATGCATGTGGAAGATGTTGATATCGACCCACTCTTCTTGGATAGAAAGATACGATAATATCTTTTGCCTGTCTTATATGGTTATACGCAAATTCTTCTAGTTTTACATGTTAGACCATCTACTATGTAGATCTCTAGCCGTTTTTTTATAAATAATTCGGCCACAGACCATTTGACCAGTTGGTCTCTTGATATGTACGGAACAAGAGAGTTCTATTACAAATTCTTTTCTTCTTACAATAGATATCATAACTTCTTAGAAGAAATCATACTCATACCTTCTCGCAATGGGAAAAAAATACATATCTTCACACACAGAATCCTATTCATAAATGAAAATTAAACCTACGGATTCAACGGTTTAACAATCAATATTTATATCGGTCTACAACTTCATGTACAACTACAGTACTTTAGATTTTCGGGTTATTACACGGTGTAGCCACATGATTACAAATAATGATCTTGACTCTTGACAATCTTAAAACCATGGAAAGTAATGTTCAAATAAAAAAGATATTATTATTCATCTTTAATTACGTTTTGGAGATTAGCCACGTCAGAAATCCTTGCAAATATAAGAAGGTAATGCGGAAATAAAAGCCAAACAATTGTGTGAATGAATCTGAAGTCTTGATCACAACTGCGTTCTACTCTATGATTGTTTATTCTCATATGGAAACATCTCCTTCAAAAGGATCAACTATATGAGAGCTGAAAAAGAAATCGTCGGTTGCTGTTAACCGAATCAACCCTAAACTCCCAATAAACCGGTAAGATGTAAAAAAAACCGGACTGGTTTGCTTAGCTATTTTTTCAGTCTTGTTGACTAGAAGAGACTACAACATGACAATTTATTCTGTCGTTTAGTAAATCATCAAAGAATATTTGTCGATGTGTCAGTAGTGATGATCTAATCTACCACAAAAGGCATGACCTAATTGTAATAATTAACTAATAACACATTCAAGTGTGACGAAGCAAACGAGAGAAGCTCGAGATCAGAAGAAGCCATGGTCGGTCCAAGAAGACCTCAAATCGTCCTCTTCGGTTCTTCAATCGTTCAATACAGCTTCAGTGATGGTGGATGGGGAGCCACTCTCGCTGACATCTACTCTCGCACGGTTTGTGCTCCTCTCTCTATCTCACACACACACACACATCTTCTTTCTTACAGTGTTGATAGATGTTAATGCAATTCCCATGTACTGTTTGCAAGTGGACAACTTTAACTCTTTTTTTTTGTTGGAAGTGTCAACAAGCTAATGATTGAGGAACATAACTGGTGCTCTTTTGTTTTTAGTTAGATCCATAACTGTATCATTTTAAAGTTCCAATCTTTTTGATGAATTTCACAGGCTGACATCATCCTTCGCGGATATGCTGGTTGGAACTCCAGATTTGCCTTGAAGGTGTTAGATCAAGTGTTCCCAAAGGTACATATACTCTGTTTTGAGGAAGTGGGCTTATTGAAAATACATATGTTAAGTGAAACAATGGAGTTAGATTGTTTTTAACTTAATTGAAAGGGACACCCTTTATGTATGATTATTTAGTGACATGTTCTGCAAATGAATTAGCTTTGCCTTGAGGGTATTAGACCAAGTGCTCCCAAATGTAGGGGACATACACTCTGTTTTTGGGGGAAGTGGGTTTATTGAAAATACATATGTTAAGTAAACAATGAGGTAATATTGTTTTATCATAAGTGAAAGTGACACTCTTTACGTGTGATTATCTAGTGACATCTCTCAAAGTACTGCAAAATTGCAAACTTTGCCTTAAAGGTCTTAGACCAAGTGTTCCCAAAGGTATACACACTCTGTTTTGAGGAAGTGTGCTTATTGAAAATACATATGTTAAGTGAAACAATGAAGTTAGATTGTTTCAACATGACTGAAAGTGACACTCTTTATGTATGATTCTTCTAGTGACATGTTCTTGCAAATGAATTAGCTTTTGTTTGACGTCTCTGTTTTTTCTACTGTAAGGATGCTGTATTACAACCTTCTTTGGTGATAGTCTATTTCGGTGGGAATGATTCAATGCCTCCTCATCCATCAGGCCAAGGACCTCACGTTCCTCTCTCTGAATTCACTGAAAACATGAGGAAGATCGGAGAGCATCTTTTGGTAGCTATGCCCTTTTTCAAAGTTTGAGACTTTTTATGTAAGTGTATTGCTAACTCATGATATCTTCTTACCAGAGCCTTTCGGACAAGACCCGTGTCATTTTTCTCACTCCCCCACCAATGAATGAGAGACAAATCCAAGTTGTGTTTGGGTACATCTCTTAAAGAACCAGTCAAATGTTTTCTCTTGGTAATTATCTTTCCAAGTTTGATCAATACCATTGTGTAACTCTTGTGGTAGGGATGCAATGAGAGGCCGGAGTAATGAGCTGTCTCGTCCATACGCAGAAGCGTTGATGAATCTATGTAAAGAGATCAATGTGAAAGGAATCGATCTTTGGAACGCAATACAGCAACAAGATGATTGGTTAAACACTTGCTTCACGTGAGTTACTGAACCTTTACATGTTACATTGAAAACAAGTCTTTATCAAAATAACTTTTTTTTGGATTGTTTTTGCATTATAGTGATGGGATCCATTTCACAGCCAAGGCAAGCGAGATTGTCGTGAAGGAGATATTGAAGGTGGTGAGAGAAGCTGATTGGAAACCGAGTCTTCACTGGAAGTCATTACCGGTTGAGTTTCCATTTGATTTTGGTGAAGCAAGCTCCCTAAGCCTTACTGATCTTGAGTTAACCAGAAACAAGAAGTTAGAGTCACCACCTTTTACGTCCCGCTTGTAAAACAACTTGATCATGGTTATACATTTAACACATCTTGAACTCTGTTCTTTTAAAAAAAGCAAGGGCTAGAAACTCTGTTTTAATTTTGTAAACAATGATGGTCGATACTCAGCCATGTAATAGACCTACCAAGACTATCACATACGAGAAAGCTTCTAAGCATCATCATCATCATTATAATCTCCATGAAGTAGATTGAATTTAATTTACAATTTTAGACCTTTATAACACATCATTTTCATTCAAGTTATCTCCTAAACCCTAAAATATCTGTTACCACACAAAAATAACAACAAATATATCTGAATTAATTTGAATGGTTGTTCAACATACACGATAATACAGGAAACAGAGCTCCACGTCAGCAGACATATCTCTTCGGGACTCTACATTTTACACTGATAGAATGAAAATTTTGTGGTCAAACTTTCCTTTATCCGAACATTACTTCTCTTCTCTACACTCATCCCCACCGTAATCCACAACCTCTTTCATCTCACACCGTCCGATCAACTTACTTTGACTTTCATCTCCCAATCAGATTGCAATCTAAATTCGCGCCTCACTCCATAAATACAAAATCTCTTATCTTCCTTCCTTCCTCCACACTCACTCACAAAACCCTAGAAAAAAAATATGGCGGAACCAACCGGAGTAGTGGCGGTTTACGGCGAAGCATCCATGACGGAGACGAAACAACAATCCCCCTTCTCCGTCAAAGTCGGTCTCGCTCAGATGCTCCGCGGCGGCGTAATCATGGACGTCGTCAACGCCGAGCAAGCGCGAATCGCCGAGGAAGCCGGCGCCTGCGCCGTCATGGCTCTGGAGCGCGTTCCCGCCGACATCAGAGCGCAGGGCGGCGTCGCGAGGATGAGCGATCCGGAGATGATCAAAGAGATCAAACAGGCCGTTACGATTCCGGTCATGGCCAAGGCTCGGATCGGCCACTTCGTCGAGGCGCAGATCCTCGAATCGATCGGAGTCGATTACGTCGACGAGAGTGAAGTCCTCACTCTCGCCGACGAAGATCACCACATCAATAAGCACAGCTTCAAGGTTCCCTTTGTTTGCGGGTGCAGGAACCTCGGGGAGGCCCTGCGGAGGATCCGAGAAGGAGCCGCGATGATAAGGACTAAAGGAGAGGCGGGAACGGGGAACGTTGTGGAGGCAGTTAGGCACGTGAGGAGCGTGACGGGAGCGATACGTTTGCTTAGAGGTATGGATGATGATGAGGTTTTCGCTTACGCGAAGAAGATCGCTGCGCCTTATGAGTTGGTTATGCAGACGAAGCAGTTAGGGAGGTTACCGGTGGTTCAGTTCGCTGCAGGGGGAGTTGCGACGCCGGCGGATGCGGCGTTGATGATGCAGTTGGGGTGTGATGGTGTGTTTGTGGGGTCGGGGATTTTCAAGAGTGGAGATCCGGGGAAGCGTGCGAAGGCGATTGTGCAGGCGGTTACGAATTATAGAGACGCGGCGGTGTTGGCGGAGGTGAGCTGTGGGTTGGGTGAAGCTATGGTTGGTATCAATTTGGATGATAAGGTTGAGAGGTTTGCGAACCGGTCTGAGTAAACCGGTTTAAGAATTCAAATGTTTTTATTTCGGTTTAAATTGGTTATATTGGGATACGTTTGTGTTCGTAATGCTCTGAATGTTATGTTTGGGTCCAACGGGCTTTGTTGTTTGGGCCTCGGGACTTGTTATTTAAATTCAGATATGTTTTGTTTCTTTTACTCCTCCATATACTATATAACTCCTGAACAATGATTTTATGAGCTAGCACATGCACATGGAAACAAAAATGCACATAAACATCTAAGGATGTTACTTATTTCAACCTCGTTAACCCATAGACTCTTCCTTGTCAGTATCATCGGTAACAGATGATGCATTAGGAAGAGTTTATGATAATGGGTTCATCTAATGAATACTTGCACCGATGATATATATTGATTTACTTTGCAATACTTTCTTCAAGATACATATAAAGCGGAAAAGGTGAAATGTTTAGAAGATGGGGGAAGCGAGAACGGGTTGGGTGGATCAGTGCCTGGCCCTGGAAGAAAGCGAAAGTTTGCAGACTTTAAAGCTGATAAATATTTGTCAGTTTATTTTCTATAACAACAACTTCATCAAGTAGAATTAGTTATAGGATGATACAATTAAAAAAAAAAGTTAGGATGATATTCTTTTATTCTACTTTTTCTTTATTGAATATGAGGTTGACATAGTAAAATTTGCATTTGCCTGCGACTTGGACGATAAGCATAATATTAATACGATACGGACATTTTAAGTCGACCTAATAAACTTTACATGTTGAGATTGGTGAATGAATTGACAAACATAAACAAGACACGTTTTAAAAAATTGTGGATAATGACACTATTTGTTTTCGTGTTTCTTTAGTTATTTTAGACGTTGAAAAAGATTGGGGAACAAATTTCGGCGCCCTGCGGCGGTTTGCAACACATTTGTTAATAAAAAGCTTATTATGAGAGAGACCAAATGCTAAGATATGTAAACTATTTAAGTCTTTGTTTTTTGTTGTTGTCATGTCCTATTGATGTTTTTCTTTAACTATTTTAATTTTTACTTTCATCTTTAATCCAAATATTTAAACCAATGATTAATGGCTTTTCAGTACATAGTTTTCTTTTAAAAAAAAACTTATGTACAATCAATTATGCATCGTTTTTGAATGTGACTTGGTCACTTGATTGTAAACTTAAACTTAAAAGTAGTGAAAGAGTATAAGACCATCCGCAATAAGGAGTTTTTTGGGAGAACCCTTAGGGAAATATTAATTTTATAATAAATGGGTCTCATGCATAGTTAAGGATTTTAAGAATAAAATTCTTATGTAAGGATTGATCCTTACACTATACGCGGATTCCACTATCCACGTGGCGGTCCGTAAGTGATCAGTTTTTTTTTTAAAGAAAAAATCTGAAATATCCTTATATAATCTGAAATACCTCTTTTTCTTTTTTCCTAAAGATTTTCTCCACAGATCCGCTATTACGGATGCTCTAAGGGCAGTTTTTAATACTTTTCTTATCAATGAACTAACATGAATACATAACCAGCCTTAGGAGAGAGCAGTAATTCATTCTATACTCTTTTAGCAACACAATAGGCCAAATAAAGTAACTATAAAAAGGTATACATGAAAATCTGATTTGTTACCGATTGTGAAAGTTTTTTTCTTACATAGTGTAAGTTTTTATTCTTTACATATTATTTAGCTACGACTATTTAAGTACGTAGGAGTAACTGATTGATCTAGGGATATATATCAATCATCATGTGCTTGCCAACAGTGAATCGACTTGATTTTTTCCACTGGGACCCTTTTGCCTAATCAGAAGACGGTACTCCTCGAACCTGATCGGTTTATAAAGAGCAGGTCGGTTTTCCGTTAATAGTTCTTTCACTGGTCCAATAGGGATATCACTTCTAGGGTTGTAGAAGAGTGCCAAGGAGACTCGCTCCATACTGGAATTCACGACAACTTGATGCTCCACGCTTTTGTAAATTCCATTGCTAAGTATCTACATTTTGATCCCAACATATTGTTTGGTCAGTGTTCACATCTTATTCAACTACAAGATTAAGTTTAAATATCATATAATGCCAAGATGATTATAGTGATTTGCCAAAAATACATAAGATGTTATAGAAATGTGCGCACTACTGAATAGAAACACAATTAAACAACTTATATATGCTCCGCAGATTGGAGATATTCTACATAGTATACGAGGACAGATTTAAGGGGCTGTAAGTTCATTTTGTCTAGTATACATTCTATTCAGGACCGGATCTGAAATTTATGGAGCTGCAAACTTTTTATGCTAATCTTAATTAAAAAAAAAAAAACTGTACAAGTTGGAGGTGATGCGACAAATGTATAATAACTCTTTAAAATTTAGGAATCAAGACGAATGTGTTTCATCAAAACTATTCATGACTCCATTTAGAGCTTTAATTTTAAAGGTAAAGGAACATAAAATCTCTATATGGCGTTGACTATTTTGTTCTCCTGGTTATCTTTAGTTAAAATAAAAATGTGAAATTTTAGAACCTATACCTGAACTTGATCTCCTATGTTAACGATCAAAGCATTGGGGACAGACTTAACGGTGACCCAGCAGTCACCACGACGGACCTGGAGGCCAGCGACCTTCTCGTCGGGGAGGACAATGGTGATGCCACCAGGGTCAGAATGGGAAGAGAGACCTAAAGTGAGGTGTGGCTGAGGGCATTTTGGGTAGAAATTTGCTCTCAGATTAGCTCCAACTTTGTCTTCTCCTCCAAAGGCCTTCATGAGATGGTTTGGTTCTAAACCTAAACTCTCTGACAATGTCTCCACCAGCCTCTCACACAGTTTTCTCACTTCTTCTCCGTACTCTTCGATCAATTCTCTGCATAGGTGAAAAAGTATCTTTTCAATATTAATATACTACGTATACTCGTTGATTGTATATGACCAACTATTCTTGAAATAGGTTTACTACTAAATTTTTGTGATCTTACAGTCAGTAAAAGTAAGAGAAGAAAAAACAATCGGTAAAAGTTTTAAGACAAATAACACACAATACAAAGTTAGAGTACATATTTTATATCTTATATGTATATATGTATATATATGTAGTCAAAAATAAAGTCATGATTCACATGGGTATGACCACATGAAACGTGTTCACACATGAGACACGTGCCTAAATAAACAAATAGACCAGATGTCCATATGTGTGTACGTATGTGCAAGTTGTGTACCTTCACATAATCAAGATGCATCAACAGCTATAAATCAAAACACGCACACAAAACGTGTCCCACTCCCCCATGCAAACATTCACTTAGTAACATATTTTTCTTAACTAAAGGGTTTCTTTAAAAGCATATACACCCAAATATAATATACATATATCAGCTAAACCATAGACGGACGTAGATGAGGAGAACAGAATCATGCCATGGACGTATACTTTTTTGACATTTTTGATTGGTATTGTGCATGTGTACATACCTTATCTTAGGAGGCTGAGAAGGCCACTTGGAAGGGTTTTTAATGGAAGCAGGCAAGTAATTGAGGAAGAAATAATCACTCCAATCTAACTTAGCATCTTTCACAACACCAATCCTACTTCCATAGCCTTCATACGTGTCTGGTGAGTTTGCGTACTTACGTTTCTCCTCTACGGGTAAATCAAAGAACTCTCGCCACGCTCCCCTTACACTCTCCATCAGCATGTGGTCTACACCATGGTTCACCACTTGGAAGAAACCCCACTCCTCACACGCTTTCCTCACGCGCCTCAGCCCTTCCGGTTTCCTCCACACGTCTCTCATATCCAACACGGGTACTTCCATGTCAAGACCGGATTGGTCGGAGTTGTAGACCGGTCTCTGATGAGCGGGTTTAATATAGCGGTTTGGAACGGTGGATAGGCCGGTTTGGGACAAGGCTTGAACGGAAACTATCGGCTCAGGCCAGCTTGCAACCATTTTTTTTTGTCTTGTGAATTGTTATGTATTAGAGGACACTCAAGGAGAGAGATGTTAAGGAGATAATGAGAGTTTTAGATGGTGGAAGAAGCGAGGACGAGTAGGGGTATAAATATAGGAGAAAATAAACGGAAATGAAACGTGAAATAATTAATGTGACGGTATTTTTTTATCACTTTGTATTTTTTATTAAATTTTGAGTTCGACCGAATATACTTTGCATGTTGAGCTATATGGATGATAAACATAATTAACACACGTTTTTTAGAGTTGTGGATATGTGCCGACAATAGTTCATTTTTTTCTTAAAGACTTTTGAAGTTAGGGAGATGGAGAACGAATGTCGGCGCCGTGCGATGGTTTGCAACTCATTTATTAATTAAGAGTTTATAGAGAGACCAAAAGATAGCATTTTATCATCACGTGTTTAGTTGTCGTGTCCTGCTGAAGTCTTTCCTTAGTTACATAAATCTTAGGATACAAGGTTCACAGTAAAATGACACTTCAATGAACAGGCTAAATAATAGTTGTTTGCTTCTTTTTGTAGCAATATATAGATGTATTTCCACAAAATGATATGTCAATGTATGTCTACTATAACTACTCTACCAGTATTCTATTTCAATATAATAGTTGCAAATGAAACAAAATTCATGTTCTCATACACCGTGAGTTCAGAAGAACGAGATTGTATATGAAATATCTTACGTTGGAACTCCACATTGTCAACGATAAACAAAAGGCAAACTCATAGTGGTCATTTCGTATTTAACTTGTCATTGATTTATTATATAGTTTCGACTTTCGATAATCTTATATGTGATGCGCCATCTAGTTTAATTTAATTGATATTATAATTTTGATTGTTTAACCAATAAAAAGTGCATTTCTTCTATTGTCATAGTTGAGCAATGGAGCCGTCAAATGACTGAAAGCAAAAAAAAAAAAAAAGTTGAACTGAATATTCTAAGAATGATTTTAAAATGTTAAAAACTGCTTTAATTGATTAATGATATTTTGATTAATTCTTGTTTTGAATCATAATAACTAATGAAGAACCGAGTAGTAAAAATGATCCAAGCGGAAACATTTTGATTACACTGAGTTTTCTAAGAATGGTCATAAAATGTTTAAATTGATTTAATAAATTAATTAGTGACGTTTTATTTTTTCTAGTTATCTATACTATTATTTGCGAAGTGATTTTTCGCAACGGAGCTCTCACGTTAAAAGTTAGAGCGGTTAAT